ACACTGACAGAAGCATCTGTGCCTTCAAAGGCTCATCAGTGGACATTTCTTGTACTTACAACAGTTATGAAACTATCAGATCTAAATTCTGGTTCAGTCCTGAACGTAGTCTTCAGTGGCAGAATCCCTCACAGCCTGAGGACCTTAGTGAAGACTCCCAGTATGCAGGTCGTGTTCAGGTCCTTGAAACAGAGAGAGGACGCTCCACTCTGAGAATCACTGACCTGAGAGAGAGCGACTCAGCTGAGTATCACTTCAAATTCAACACATGGAGCTTTGAATGGTGGAGTAGTTTACCTGGTACAACTCTGACTGTCACAGGTACTGATGAACACAAACTGTAACAGCACATTTAAACTATCTGATGACAAGTGAATGTGCTGAATAGTGATCCTGGGAAAGAACTGTATGTGTGATTCAGTGATTAGATGATGGTCACAATATTTTGTTGTTTAAATCTCTGTGTATGTCTGTGTGATTCATTATTACAAAAAGAATATTTCAAATATTTCTGTTTTTTCTCCACAGATTTAGATCTCCAGGTGCAGGTGATCAGATCAACAGTCTACAAGAATTATACTGAGGCAGAGCTGCTTTGTCACAACAGCTGTCGTCTTCCTGATCGTTCTTCCTACGTCTGGTTCAAGAACGGACAGAAAATGGAAAGGGTGGAGACATCTTCTTATAAAGATCAGTTTTATCCTGGAGACATCATCTCCTGTGCTGTAAAAGGACATGAGGATTTCTGCTCTCCTTCAGTGTGTGAGTTTACTCCACTGTGTCAGGAAAAAAACATGCTTATGCACAATACTATTATAATTTCAGACATAACCATATTAGAGTATTCTATACCGTAATAATTCATTTTTCATTGTAAAACTTTATAATGGAGTAAAGTTTCTGAAGATTTATTCCTCACAGACTCGACAGACATCTTAGTAGTAAGAAATCCTAATATTGTCATTCGCTCTGATAAGGTTGTGTGTAAAGCTCCTCTTTTGAAAAGATGTAGTCTATTAAAGAGGTGGTATTCTGCTCATTTTCAGGTTCAAAATCTTACCAGAACAGGTTTACATGGTTTCATTTTCAAAAAACACCATATTTTTCTCATACTGCACATTGCTGCAGCTCCTCTTTTCACCCTGTGTTGTACGCTCCGCTCTTGAGCTACAGAGTGATGCATCTTACTTGTACAAAATCTTTGCTGGGAGTTGCACATGCGTAGTTCCCAGGTAAGGACTACTAGCCAATCAGAAGCAGAGAAGGGCGGGTCGTAAGAAACAAGGTAGTGTGATCCAAATCAAAGTCTTCAGTCTGCGACCGAAACCTAGCAGATGGTAAAAGTTACTCACAAGTCCACAACCACACAACATCATTGTTCCACATCTTACCATAAAGCACTACAAAAATCACCATATTTCAACTCAATTTTACATCAAAATTGGCCAAACAATTTGAACGTTTGCTCAGTAGCTTTCACATCAGGTGTAACATTAGCATTATAGCTATAACTTTAGCTGTGTTGGCCAACGTTTACAACAACTCCGCACTTGAACAGTCTGAAGTTACATTGCCGTGTTTATTTTAAATATAATTCACAACCGATAAAGCATACTTACAGGTTGTGATTGTGAATTTCCAGGCCCAAACAGAGTCGGAGTAGCATCGTCTTTTAGGACTAATCTATGCTGCCTTCACCGAAAAATTCTACCAGAGCGCAAATCGATAGACTCGACTCTACTCGGCCCTGCTCCGTTTTCGTTACAGATAGTACCCAGAGATAGTACGTAGCTTGTCGTCATACGTCGACGTAATGTTCAATGCGACACACACACCAGCGATCCACACAGCTTTCTCTTTCATAAGTTAAAACATTTCAACATTCCTCAGAATGGAAAGACAGATAAGCGGTATGAAAAGCTTCCAGCTGTGTTTTCCTCTGCCGTTGTTGCTGCAGCGGTCTGTGTGACGGCGGGACCAGAGGGCTCTGTGAGCGGGCGGCTGGCCGGCCTCACGCGCTCCTCCCGCTTCTTATGGTGTATAATGAAAGTGCTGCATGGGATGTTAAAGATGATTTGAAAAGAGAAAAACTAAACTGACATTTTTGTCAGAAACACTGTTTTTAACAAAACTTTAATACAGAGAAGAAAATGATTTGCATTAGAAACAAGAGAAAAGAATAATAAATTATTTTTGTCTAAGAAAAAATCCACAATTAAAGCAGCAGGATAAAAACTTTATAGGCCTGTATCATTTTTGTGCACTTTTGGATTGTTTGTTTTGGATCTGCATTTCCTCAGTGCTCTGACTGGATTTGTGTTGATCATCATGAACCTCTGGTACCTCTGAGTAACTGGAGATACTTCCACCCGAAAGGAGTACACAGGTCTTTATTTTAGTGGATTATTCCCATACAAACGCATCTTCTGCTTTCTTATAGCATGAGTACTTAGGCTATAATAAAACATAGAATCAACTCTGGAAAGGCAGCCTAGTTGTGATATGACGATATGATGTGACATAAGGGCAGCCCTGCTAGTAGTTTGTGTTCTTTTTTAAACACCACCATGTCCCTTAATCATCAACATATCTGTAATTTCACAGCATTTAAGGGCTCTTTTCTCCATCTCAGCTCTGCCTTTTCTCTTTCTCTCGTTCTCCTGTGCATTTTTTCTACGCACACTCGCGCACTGACTGACCGCTGTGTTGATGTGTGTATGCATGCAATCAATTGCACGTGATGACAGAGATCATGCCATCAGGTTAAAACAAGAAGGGAGGCCGACGGTCTACGGTCTGAGTGACTGTGGCTGCCCTGTGACAGATTCAACTTTAATGGGCCTAATCTTGTTTGACAAAAGTCTGGATGTCATATTTGACGCGCCTCGAGCGGCGGCACTGCAGGAGAGAGTGAGACGCGCCTGTTGTGTGGATTCTCCTGCTATTAAAAAAGCTTGCTATCGCTGCCGCTGGTCAAGTTGTATTACAAAAAAAAAAACTGGTAATATTAAGTGGGGTTTTTTATAATTCGCCAACACCGAAAAAAAATTTCGGCACCACAAAAACAAATCCATCAGTAAACGAGAAACATTATTTTCTCAGGCAGTATGCAAACTGGTCATTGGTCTATCTTCACGAAGCCATCAGAGAGCTTCATGATAGAGGAGGCCATGAGTTTGTCAGAGAGATCCACCTTGTCCCGCCTCTCAATGGACCACCGGGCTGTTTTCTCTGTATCTTTCTTGTAGTTGGTTGGGGCGTCCATGAAAGGAGGGCTTTTCTTCATGGGCATGTGGAAAGGGTAACTAGCCTCTCCACCCCCAGTGCACTCTTTTCTGCCATCAGTTAGTCTTTCCTGACTGTCCTTCAGTCTTACTCTTATTAATAGAGCGGGTGAATAGATCAAGTTCCTGGGAATCAACGTCACAGAGAACCTGACATGGTCGTCCCACATGCTCCCAGCTTTTACAGAGGAGCAATGGAAACAGAAACACATTTATTTGGTTGTGGTCTGAGAGTGCTGTTTGCTGTCTGACACTGAATGCGTTGAAAGTGGAGGGGTCCATGTCAGTGATTGCATAGTCCACTACATTACACCCAAGAGCAGAAGAGTATGTAAATCTCCCTAAAGAGTCTCCTCTGATCCTACAGTCAAGAAAGTACAGACTTGAGGCTCGACAGAGGTGTAGCAGCCCCTGTACCACTACTGTTTGTCACACTATCAAGGTTGTTTCTGTGAGTGATAATTGGAGATTTACTAAGGGGTCTGGCCAAACACGTGATTATTACATTGTGGGTCAACAATATCCGGTTCAGTACCAGTTCTTGCATTCAGGTCTCTACATAGAAACAGATTTCCCTGGACTTTAAAGTGGGTGATTTCTGTGAGGCGATTGCTAAATATTTCCTCAATATGTCGATTTTATTGGTGGGACATAAATTGCACAAAGATAAATTTCCATGCTGATACTTGAATTTAGTTTTAGCCAGATGTGTGACTTCCCTTCCCTATCTGTCTAATAAACAAACACAGAATGAATGAATCGTCTCTGATTACATATTCTAATATTTAAGTAATTGATGTTCATTCTGTTACAATATACACTTCAACATATAATGCTGTAAATAAACATGTGAAAAGAAAGAAGCTTTTAATAAATGTTTCTAAAGTGCATGAATAAATCCAAAATTGTAACCCTAACCCTAAGGTCGGGGGCGTCAGCGCGCATGTGTGGGCGTAATGTGTATGTGTGTGTAGGTGTAGTGGCAGAGGAACACCTGCTGAAGAGACGGAGCCTCAAGCTTCACCGGTGTTGTGCCGAGCTGTCCGCACCTCGCGGGACGTTTGGATCATTTATCACCGCTGATGAACCTCAGAAAGAATATTATATCGCTTTTAAACAGTACCGCGACGTGCATGTACAGTTAGTTGTGAGGCACGCGCTCCCGCACAGCTCGGTACAAGACCGGTGAACGGCAGGCGAGCAGAGAGAAATAATAAGCCTCAGTTTAGCTCTAAATGTAACAGTGAGTAATAAATAGAGACTGCAGTGCCAACCACATGGACATTGCATGCAGCTCCCCTCTAAGTAAACCAATGTGAATTGTAATGGTACTTGCCAAAATGTGAGGTTCCAGCAACGAACTGAAGAAATAATGTTTTGCCCACAATGTGAGAAGTTTTGAGGTCAGTTTTTATTTTTTATTCATGTAAGAAGCCCCCAAGTTTCTTCATAGAAAAGGGTCGTGAAGAGAAAACCTGTGGCCAAGTTTCATGTACAAGTCTGTTAGTGACTGTTGTAGCCTGCTAGCTAGCTTTGTAGAGGCAACAACAGCCTTACTCATGAAGCAGGATTACTAAACCAGGCAGATAACAAAGTAAGGACATCAAAACAATGACTGAATTATTACTGTATTGCTCCTCCGAGCTTGTGGCAAACCATGCTTAAAACAGACCTGTAAACAAAGATTGATTGAAGTTGTCTTTCTTTTGTCCCTAGATGCTCCAAAGCTTCCCTCTGTGTCAGTGAGTCCCTCTGCTGAGATAGTGGAGGGCAGTTCAGTGACTCTGACCTGCAGCAGTGATGCTAACCCAGCAGCTAAATACACCTGGTACAAGGAGAACCAAACACTGATTCAGGGACCAGAGGACATTTATCATTTCACCTCTATCAGCTCTAAGGACAGCGGGATCTACCACTGCAAGGCTGAGAATGAGTATGGCCAGATCAACTCCACATCTGTATCCATAGATGTCCAGTGTAAGTACAAAACATCAGCAAAGCACTTCGACACACGATGTGTTTAATTACAGATGTAAATTTCTGATGAGCTTAGACTATCAAGTTCTAAAGTAGTATCACAAGGGGTTTAAAGGATCATTTCAGATTTTTTAAATTCTACCTACTATTATATTCACCAGAGCATTATTTGTTACTTGTTGGGTTATGGGCTGTTTTTTTGTAATTCCACAGATGTGCACTGTCTTCTGAGAAAGGTAAAATGATTGCCCGGTGGTGGGCGGGGGCTTTCAGCAAAGGAGAATAGCAGAGCAGAGTGGCATAACCTGAAAAAATATTGGATTTAAACATTGTGTCAGGGTTTGTCATGTGTGCAGGCAGGAGCAGGTTTTAGGACCCAAATGGAGGACAAGCAGACGAGACAGATACAGTCTCTTTGAGAATTTATTAACAAAAAGGGAGTCCCATAAAAATAACAAGGTAATCCATAAACAGAGGTTGTCTGCAGAGCAGCAAAAAGTCCAAAACAAAGAATAATCCACGGTGTAAGAGAACAAAGGGTAAAGCAGACAGACAAGCAAGACACACAGCAGGGGTTGAACATACAACGAACCAGCAAGAGCTGAACAGAAGTGACACACATTTAAGCACCGTGAGGAGGGTGGGAGCACAGACAGGTGATCCTAATAATGACAGCAGACAGACACAGGCAGGCAGGGTGATGGACAGACAGAAACACAGGGTGGTTCTCAAGTCTCTTATTTGTCGTTTCCTCGCTCCTTGATCCTCGCTTGAACTGGAAGTTGTTCCGCTCCGCCATCTTGCAGGCCGCCAAAGCTGTTGGGCCTTTCCGAAACAACACCCTCCCCACTTCCACTCTGAGACGAAGTGAACTCTGGTTGGACGCTCACAACCAAATCGAGTTCCCTAACCCGCGTTAAATGTAGCAGCCAACTTTCGGACAAACTACCCTTTCCCCCCAGCGTAAATAGGATCTGACGTTACCGCTGCCCTCACTGCTATTATATGTGTATCAAATAAACAATTGTATTGAGATTCAGCATTCATGTTGAGGAAAAGTGTGTTTTTTGCAATAACAAAACTCAAAGCATTTTTCAGTAATTTTGTGTTTGTGTTGAATATTTCTTTAAGAACATGACTTTAGATTTACGAAAAAGAAATGTTATAGTCTTTCATGAGAAGACTGATAAAGAAAAGCCTATATATTTGAACCTTTTTATTAGCCTATATCAGGGGTATTCAATTAGAATACAAAGAGGTCTAGTTAGAGAAAATTTCCCGAAGCAAAGGTCCGGAACATCAAAACGACGAACGTTATCATTCAGTACTATAACCTATAGTTGTATCAACACATGTTTTTAGTCAACAACGGACTGTCAAATCAAATAATATTTCAGTCAGTTTTCACATCAAACTGGAAGGATAATAAATAACTATTCAAATAATAAATTCTAAATTTAAGTAAACTAAATCAAAGTGCCTAATTTTTAGAAAAAATGTAATAAAAAGTGTAGCTTGAAGTGATGAAGTGTAGTCTTAACCAATTTTATAATAAACACACAAATGAACAGCTGTAATGCCTCCTCTTCTCTTTCATTTCCTCTTACAGAGCTACCACTTTCCTACTTTCTGTTGTTCAGTGAGAAACGTGAGCTCCAGCTAGCATATTGGAGATCTATGAGATATTCTGCTTTTGAACTGCCCGTGGGAGGAATGTACATGTAAAAATCTGTACATTCTTGATTAAAAGTCATGTGAAATCTCTTTTATCTTTCGTCTCCTCAATTCGGGTGTGTTTACAAAACGTCTCTGGTGAATCTCGCGGACTCGACTCACAAGCATCGGTATGCACAGATTTGATTGGCTGGGCAGCGTCACATGAGACGATTGGAGCACATGCGATTGGTCTGTGAGTTTCCTGGTCCTCTAAACCAGTACAGTAAATGCTAGAAAAGCTGCGCGGGTTAAAATAGAAACGCTCCGTCACGAGGTAGTAAGTCTCAATAATAAATGGGCTGTAGGTCAGCGGTCCGGAGAGGAAGGCGGCTGGGTCCAGATCCGGACCGCGGTCCGCCTATTAGTGACCTCTGGCCTATATGAAAAATATTACATTCACAAATACAACATTTCAATATAAATCATACATTACATTGAAGTATTATATAGTCTGAAGTATTTAACAGTTAAAATGTATAAAGATTTTTATTTAAAGCCTTTGTTGCTTGTTACGTTATCCCCTTGTGGATCATGTTCTATTATTCTGTTGTTTACTGTAGGCTATTTTGTTTTGGCTGAAGATTTTCATATAAGATGAATATGATTCAGTAAAAACAACCTTTGTATTGTCTATCAGAAAAGACTTCCTTCGTGGAAGTCTTTTAATGACCGACACGCCGCCTTTTCGGGTAGCCGTTATATTTATTGGACGCTGCAGCTGATTGGACTGATCTGATATCTCACATAACATTAAACTCAAGTGTATCGCACAAAAAAAAAAAAAAACATTTTAAAAAATCACAAAGAATTCACAGCACTTCAATTTTTCCACATTTTGTTATGTTACAGCGTTACAAACAGTACCTCAAACGAAAACGTGAAAGAAATTTGTTTGAAATATTTTTTTATTTATTATAAATAAAAAACAAAACAGCACATGTACATAAGTATTCACAGCCTTTGGCATGACACTCAAAATTGAGCTCAGGTACATCCTCTTTCCACTGATCATCCTTGAGATGTTTCTATAACTTGATTGGACTCAACAATCCCACAGTTAACAGTGTCAGAGCACAAACCAAGCCATGAAGTCCAAGGATTTGTCTGTAGACCACCGATCTGGGGAAGGATTCAGAAGCATTTCTGCAGCGTTAAAGGTCCCAATGAGCGCAGTAGCCTCCATCATCCGTAAAAGAAGGCAGCTTGGAGCCACCAGGATTCTTCCTAGAGCTGGAGGAAGAAGGGCCATTGTCAGGGAGGTGACCAAGAACCTGCTGGTCACTTTGACCATCTCATCACCTCATCACCTGGCCAATACCATCCATACAATGAAGCATAGTGGTAGCAGCATCATGCTGTGGGGATGTTTTGCAGTGGCAGGACTGTGCGCCGACGATCCCCATCCATCCTGTTGGAGCTTGAGAATTCCTGCAAAGAAGAATGAGAGAAACTGCCCAAAAATAGTTTGTAGCATCATACTCAAAGACTTGAGGCTGTAATTGGTGCCAAAGATGCTTCAACAAAGTCTTAAGCAAGCTGTGAATGCTAATGTACATGTGCTTTTTTTGTTTTTCATTTTAAATCATTTTGCAAAGATTAAAAAAAACATCTTTCACCTTGTCATTAAGGGGTATTGTTTGTACAATTTTGACTTTCATCCATTTTGGAATAAGGCTATGTGAATACACTGTGAATACTCTCTGGATGCACCGGAGGTTTCTTCCCGAGACACAACATTGGCAATAAACCTACAAACAACTACCAGGACAAAGATACCTACTCTGTTAGCCTGACTGAGACTGTGTGGAGAGGAGGAGTGACTGCAGGGACCAGTGTCTCTTTCAACATGCATAATATGGCAATCAAAGTATTATATTTAGAAAAACCTGACAGTCTGAACCTCTAGTCTATTTCATGATAAAGTTTTGTGAAAATATATTGTGTTCTCATTTGTCGATGCTTTTTATGACCTGCTATATTTTTGGTTTAGATCTGTCATGCTTTCTTTTGTAGTTTATCCATTGATATTTTCCTTGTTACAAAGCTACAGCTTTAATAGAGGAGTAATTCACCATGCAAATGCCTCTCTTGTCCATCCTGATGTAGTAAAACGTGTTAATATTGTATTTTTCACTAAATGTTATAGTAAGTTGCTACACAGTTTCTCCCCTACCATGTCATTATCAAGTGGACCGTTAGTAGATAAGGAACCAAATAAATTATGACATATACTGTGTTATTAATGTTTCTCTTTGGTGCCCCTCCCAGTAGGAGGCACTCAAAACAACAACTTTGTTTGACCGGAAACTAATTCATGTTCATCTCTCCTCCAGATGCTCCAAAGCTTCCCTCTGTGTCAGTGAGTCCCTCTGCTGAGATAGTGGAGAACAGTTCAGTGACTCTGACCTGCAGCAGTGATGCTAACCCAGCAGCTAAATACACCTGGTACAAGGAGAATGAAGACTCACCAAAAGCATCAGGACAGAACTTCACCATCACTGACTTCAGAGCTGAACACAGTGGGAATTATTACTGTGAAGCCCAGAACAGAAAAGGACGTCATAACTCCACCTTACATCTGATTGTTTTAGCAGGTACGTTTCTCCATGACACTACTTGGTTGATTAACAGAAGAGCATCACCTGGCAAAGTGATTCATGAATTAAACCCTACTACTTCCTAATGAGGTCCAGAACAGTTTATCTAATAACTGTCTATCTCCATTTCTAGATAAAACAACAATGATAATAAATATCATCAGGTTGACTCTGGTGGTTGTGATGCTGATTCCTCTGCTTCTGGTTTGTCTGTGGATGAGGTGAAACTATAAGAATAAATCAGTTCCATCACTGATCTTTGAATATTTACTTTCATAGTTTTGGAGTTATTGACTTTTTATTTATTTATTTATTTTTTGGGTTCAATTTAGGAAGAAGAAAACTCTGAGCTCCACCACTGAACCAAATGAACCCATAGAGACATTAGAGGTGAGAAATCTGTTGGGCCACAGTGACAGAACTTCCTCTACCAAAGAGTTATAATTTGTTGACTTATACATTCATTTTAATTTAAAAACAAATTGTTCTAATTCCATTTATGAGGCCGTTGCCTCTCATCTTGTTTTCTCTCCCCATCAGTTGGAGTCTGATCCTGATTGTAGCAACGCCTCAGCCTTGAACCAAAACTGTAACCAGAGGGACTCACCTGGATGGAAACAGAGAGAAGTACAGCATTGAAGTAGTCAGTGGAGAACAGGGGGCTGTGGAGGATGAGGATACATTTACCTTTAACTGCAAACATTTTCATTTTTAGTTTTCATTAGCAGCAGCAGGTAGACGTCAGCAGCAGCATGTAGCACAAGATTAGAGTAGAATGTAAGCGTCATTGTTACCTGTGCAGGTACATTACATAAGTTCAGGATTTTACTCAGTATACAAAATGTTATTTCAAAATGGAATGTAATAAATTGCTTTTAAGAAACACTGGTTGTCCTTTCACATCACACCTGTGCTGGTAATGAAAGCCAATAACGTCTGATCAAAACAAACATGTAGAACTGGAAGCTAAGTATTTCACAGCATGTACAGTCTATGTTTAAACACTGAAATCAAACAGAAGCCCAGCTCTGTCACACTTTGCTAGTTGTATCATTTTCAATGTGTTGCAGTGGCTGATTGAAATAAACAGCCAGCTTCCACAACAACTCTGCAGTTTGATCATCATTTCAGTTTCCTCTCACTGCTGCAGAGGGCGACAGTGTGCAGAAAGGTTTGGATTTTAGCTTTAAACAAACTCCCGGTGTTTATTATTCAGAATTAATTTTGTATTTACCCAAATAGACCAATTATTATTATTATTTATTAGAAGACACCAGGAACAAGAGCATATAAAGCGTGTTGGAGAGGTGACTGATGGTGCGTTCATGTGGTGCCAGAATAATTACATTTTTTTCCTCCCTTATATCTTTATTGCAAAAAGAGAAATAAAATGTACATGGGACATAAAGAAGTATACAAAACTTTTTACTACTAATTTGTAGAAAATCATGTATTGTATATACTAGGGCTGTTCCTGACTAAGGATTTACACAGTCGAATCAGAATTGTCAAGTCTTGCCTATAGTCAACTGACAATCGAATCATATGACTGCAGTCTTACTCACTGTTACTTACACTGTACATTTACAGCTGAACTGAAGCTTATTGTTGACCCTTTTCTCTCTGCTCGCCTGCCATTCACCGGTCTTGTGCCGAGTTTTGTGTGAACGCGTGCTTGACAACTAACTGTATATGCACGTTGCGGTTTTAATTCTTTGTGAGGTTCATCAATGGTGATAAATGATCCAAACGTCCTGCAAGGTACAGACAGCTCGGCACAACACCGACGAAGCTGGTGCGCCATCTCTTCTGCAGGTGCTACTCTGCCACTACACACACACACACATTACGCCCACACATGTGTGCTTCCTTAAGGGTTAGGGTTAAAATTGTATTTATTTATTTATTTATTCACGCACTTTAAAGACATTTATAAAATGCGTCACATGTTTATTTACAGCATTATATGTTGAAGTGTATATTGTAATAGGCAGCATGTTAACTTATTGGGAGAAAACTGGTAGTTCTATTTCAGTCTGATCTGAAATAGAATTGAGGACCCCCATATCACCAAAATGGTATGGTCCTCATTTCATAACGCTCTTTCGAAGCTTCGACTGTGAGACTGACAGTCGATTCAGGCTCCTCACATCGAAGTATCGAATCTTCGACTATTCGGGGTCAGCCCTGGTCTATACATAATTTGCTAACATGTAATTTGTAATATGGTTATAAGGGTTAGTTTGCTGTCCATGTAGAGTGAACTAGATGTCTGCGTGTTGTTTATATGCTCTGATGATGCTAATCCAACACATCTTTGTAGTAGCATCCATGTTGATTCCACATTCAGACTTCAGAGCACATGAACACACTGAAGTTGGAAGAACTACTTCACAACTTGCATGTGAATGCACCGTGAGCCGCTGACTGCAATTTGCAACCCTCACCACTAGACATCACTAAAACTTACACACTGAACCTTTAAACTAAGTATTTGAATCTTGACCACAGTGAAGTAACTAACATTTTGGGAGATTTACTGTGTAGTTTTCAAGAAGGGCATGAACTATTTATCTGGAGGGAAATTGTTGTGCAGCAGTTCTAATACAAAGCAGGAATAAATGCAAATATATAGACTGCAAACATAATATAAAATATTAATAAGGTGCAATTCCAAAATATAAACAAAAATAGAAGCAGGTTACCGGTCCATGTCCGTTATGTTACACATTTTGTCCCATAATCTAAATATCTGTATATATTTTTATTGCATGTGTTTTTCTGCTCATGTGTCATCAGCATAATTATATCACAGTTTGCATTTCCAAACAAGACCCACCAGTTCATTTAATATGTGTGTGCCTTATCTTAATATAACAGTTAAAACTAGTTCCAGATGTCACTGTGTATCTATTAGAGTTTGTGGACGTTGACTGTTAGTCAGTGAGTCAGGGCTCCATGTGCAGGAGCTGAGCAGACTGTCTCTAAAGTCTCCTTACTGGGGATCATTTAAGTGTGGGGAACACAGCAGGTGTGTACCTCATTGTCCTTCTTACATCTGATACAAGAAAAGGTCAGAAGGAAGAAAAATATCCTTCTTATTCAGAGTATTTTCTTTTTTACAACATAGATTTGTGTGTGTTGTACATAACTCCATCCAGTGGTGCCTTTTAGTTAATGTGCTGTACCATGACTACAGATATATATAGATATACATATATGTGTGAATGAGTGAGAGTGACCTCACTTCCCCTTTCTGTTTTAGCAACATGCATTAGTCATTGAGCTCTAGAGTAGCACTGTACAAGAGTCATGAACAAGATGTTGGATCCATGGCAGAATCCTTTGATTATTTTAAATCCTGCATGTTTGCACATTGCTGTGTTGCTTTGCAAGTTACGACCAACAACTGGAATCAGTGGAAATGTGTGTAACCAGCAGCAGATATGTGTAATGCTTTCCTCGTGTGCTGACGTGTTAATGTTTGTCCTTCTCCTGCACGAGACAAACACAACCGGGACTCACTCATAAAACATAACTCTTTCTGCATCATGCAAAACAACAGGAAGAATAATAAAGATAATAAGAATAATAATCATTTTTTCATTTCATCTTGCAGACTTGAGATTTACAGATTTTCATCTGTAGATGAATCCTAATAATGTAAAGAGGAAGGAAGCCAGGGCAGCTTTTATCATACCAACTATACCAACCACAGAGAAACAAACTGGTCAAAGACCACATCCTGCCTTTTTCATTACAGATATTTATTGTGACTAACTGACGTACAGGACATCTCATATATGTGATCTACCTGCTGATTTAACAGACGTGAGGAGCAGCTATGAGTTTAACAGCAGCAGCGAGTGGATTTATTGTCTTCCTTCTCTCTGTACAAGGTACTGTCCATCTACATTTATAATGTGAGACATTTAGCACATTTGATGTGTGATGTTATGAACTGTGGCGAGATCTCTGCAACACCAGATATTCACTTCTCTTTCTTTAAACTGACGTCTGTACAAGACGACCAACAGAGAGCTGTTTTTACACCAGTAACATATCTGTACCTTTATAAGTTAAAGATGTAAACTTTATAAACTGAAGTTCACAATATTGTGTTGTGTCGACTTTTAAAAGCCATCAGGGCCCTGGGGTATGTCTGACAGAAAGGGTTTGGAACCACTAAGTTAGTTCACTGATCACCAAGTCTCCCACTTTATCGGTTTCCTTGTCATAACTTCAATGTGAATTATGTTTACTCAGTATTCAGTATCAATAATTTGCTCAACTGATTATAAATCAATAATTTGTAATCACCGTTGATAAAAGTGCTTTATACAGTATATACATTTTGGCCACATGTAGAATTTTCACTAGCATTAACATTATATAACTTTTCTTCCTAAGTTACAACCGTTTTTCACAGCAGACATTTCATAGCAGGAAAAACACAGGTGAAACAAATTCCATTAATGGAGACTCAGTTTCATCAAGTGTCTGAGTAATCCCTGCCCTGTGGCCACGATGCACAACGTCAGGATCCTGGAAGTAGCTCAACTAAACGGAAGCAGGATTATAGAAAACTACTGTTCTGATTTACACCCTTCAACTTGGTGGAAGGATGTAGCATGGACCAAGGAAGAACCCGTTCAATTTCAGAGGGGATCTGAATCTGATACACAAATTATTTTTCAGAGCCCTGACACCCCCCTTAATGTTCCACCCCTGAGAATGGGAAAGACTATCATGAGAGTCAAAAGAGATGTTTCTTCAGCGAGAACTTTTACTCTAATGATTCTTGTACAAAAAAGCAGTTTATACAATTTTACAGGAAATTCCCAGGTGCAGAGAATGCACACACTTCTTCACTGATACAGTATGTACCTGAGACATAATCCTTACTCAGACAGAATAAATCTATAGTAACAACACAGACTGAAGTCCTGTAAGACTAACATATTGTAACAAAATATGTACACTAGTAGACAGTAATTTAACATATAGAAAACAATCAGCTGTTAAGTAGCAAGTAAACAGCGTAGTGTATAAACAGGCAACTGTTTCCTAACACGTTAGCAAAACTACTTTATACTTCTGTTAGCACTCTTTGTAACAGAGGTGGGGGACTCAAGTCACATGACTTGATTCGAGTCGATGCACGTTTGAAGACTTGAGACTTGCTTGAGTAAAACAGACAAAAGACTCGACTTTGACTTGAGACAGATTTTTTTGCATTTGCTCTTTCCAACATTTGCGCATAATACTGCAACCATGTGCGCTTCACATAACGTTAGCGGACTGGTTCTCCATAACAGCGGCGTAGAAAAAGACTGTTACGTGTGGTACAACACAGACATTCAAGGGTTCTGTTGTCGATGACGGTAGCTCAAAAATCAGTGACACCACCACAACAACATCCTACTTCATCCGTCAATATGGAACCTATAAAGAAAGGAACATTACGTGACTGTGGCTTTTTTATAAGCTGGTCGAACGCTTAGAGAGCTAACGTTACGTTTAAGCTACACCCAGTTGTTTGGCTACAGTTTGGTGCAGTTTGTAACTTTATGTGAAAACCTCCTAGAGGACGGATTCTGACATAAAGGGAAATAAATGCTCAATGAATAAATAAGCATACAAATAATGCACAAAACAATGGACAATGGACCAGGATGAGTAAACCAAAACATAAAATACATGTGACTCAAAACTGGAAGAAACTAGTAAACACAACTGAGGACCAAGACAAAGAACTGACACAGAAGCCTGACCACAGAAGAACTAAAACCAGAACACAGAATGAGACGGAACCAAAAACTGAACTAAGTTGAAAATGCAAATAAACATAAACAAGGCTGAACAGAGGAAACACAAGACATGGAACAAAACTCCCTAACACAAGACAGGAAAAGCCAACGCCATAAACATATTGAAACAAGAATCAGAACTCAAAGCAGACGAGGCAAAATAACAGACAGACCGAGACCAGGATTGTGACAGACAAGCCAAAATGTCTGCTGTGAAAAAGGTCTGTTGAGTCAGTCCATCCATCCATCGTCAACCGTACAGGGTCACGGGGGGCTGGAGCCAATCCCAGCTGACATCGGGCGAGAGGCGGGGTGCACCCTGGACAGGTGCTCTGCGAAAAACAACCAGTCACGCTCACATTCACACCTAAGGAGAATTTAGGGTCGCCAATCAACCTTGTCCGCATGTCTTTGGACGGTGGGAGGAAGCCAGAGCACCCGGAGTGTTGAGCCAGTTTTAAGTCAAAATGATCTCAAGCTTTAAAAGGTGAATCATGAAGAACTCTTTGTGACAGCGACTGCATTGAATTAGATTCTGGGCTTTTTGCAGCTGGTCAAGGTTACCTTTCTACAACCACCTTCACACATCTGCCTGTCACAAGTCTGTCTCCGGATGTTGTTGAGTCTGACTGTAGTTTCTGATGTGCTCTGTGTTACAGTGATACAGGCTCAGAATGGCTGGGGAGTGACTTACACCTCTACTCAGATCTGTGCCTTAAAAGGATCAACAGTGGAAATAAGCTGCACCTACACACACCCATCCAGAATAAATGACCGTGATACTACAGTTGAGGAAACATTCTGGTTTACTCAGATGAATGGAGATGTACCTGTGGATCTGAGAACAGACTCAGAGTACGCAGGTCGTTTGCAGTACAGTTGTTCTAACAACATCTGCACTCTGAGAATCACAGACCTGAGAGAGAGCGACTCAGCTGAGTACAAGTTCAGGTTCATAACAAACCAACCAGGTGGAAGCTTTACTGGTTCACCTGGAGTCACTTTGTCTGTCACAGGTAACATTTGTGTACGTTGGCTGTTAATCTCAGTGTGCCAATTATCATACGTGGAAATTGACAGTTCAGTTATTATATTTGTTTTATATCTTTACATATACAGGTTTCCAGGTGCAGATGAGCAGCTCACAATCATGCAAGACTTACATTTGTACATGGTCACAGCTGAAGTGTCTCAGCAGCTGTCGTCTACCTGATCAAACCTCCTACATCTGGTACAAGAATGGACAGAAAATTAAGGAAGAAGCATCTTCTTATTCAGACTACTTTTATCCTGGAGACAGCTATTCATGTGCCCTTAAAGGACATTTTCCTTCTCCATCAGTGTGTGAGTTTACTCCACAAACTTCTACTAATGTGACTAATGTTCTGTACCATGACCAGTGTTGGGCTGAAATTGTAAATGTACTAGTTACTTATTACTCCTTAAAAAGTAATAATATTACTTTACTTATTACTGGGTAACTAGTTACGTTACTATATCTTTCACTCTTGACTTTTGAACTACTGTTTTTCTGCGCACACTTTTATTAGAGCACTATTAAGTGATAACTGGCAGTAGCGGCCAGAGTTTATTTCTATAGGCTAAGTTTCTCGTTGCTGTGCTGTTCAGCTGATGCTTCAATAGATTAGATGTAGAATTGTTTTGCTGGTCGCACAAAGTTTACAACACACGACAATGTTCTTTGCATCTTATTCTGTGATACAATAATGGGAGTACTTACTGCTGTAGAAACAACGCCTCTCTCCCTTTTCTTCATTCTATCTTCAGCTTCTTGGCTGAACAGCTGACTTGAACACGTCGATGCGTTCAGGAACACAGTAACGCAGCGTTATTTGGATTAGTAACTGTAATATTATAACTGTTTTGGAAATCGTAATCCGTTACACTACTAGTTACTGGGAAAAGCAACAATATTACAGTAACGCGTTACTGCCCAACACTGACCATGACTTCATGTATCTTTTATGATGAGCAACCCCATCCACAGCAATACAACTAGCTGTGAATTACTGCAGTAAAGACCATAGTTTTTGTAATAATAATAAAAATTATTATTATATTTTTCAGGTGGCCACGGTCATTCATGCAACAGAGTGACTTACACTGACAGAAGCATCTGTGCCTTCAAAGGCTCATCAGTGGACATTTCTTGTACTTACAACAGTTATGAAACTATCAGATCTAAATTCTGGTTCAGACCTGAACGTAGTCTTCAGTGGCAGAATCCCTCACAGCCTGAGGACCTTAGTAAAGACTCCCAGTATGCAGGTCGTGTTCAGGTCCTTGAAACAGAGAGAGGACGCTCCACTCTGAGAATCACTGACCTGAGAGAGAGCGACTCAGCTGAGTATCACTTCAAATTCACAGCATATACCTTTGAATGGAGGAGTAGTTTACCTGGTACAACTCTGACTGTCACAGGTACTGATGAACACAAACTGTAACAGCACATTTAAACTATCTGATGACAAGTGAACATGCAGAATAGTGATCCTAATGGGAAATAACGTTTGTGTGATTAAGTGATTGGATGATGGTCACAATTTTATTGTTGTTTAAATCTCTGTGTATGTCTGTTTGATTCAGTTTCACAAAAATAATTTTTCAAATATTTCTGTGTTTTCTCCACAGATTTAGATCTCCAGGTGCAGGTGATCAGATCAACAGTCTACCAGAATTATACTGAGGCAGAGCTGCTTTGTCACAGCAGCTGTCGTCTTCCTGATCGTTCTTCCTACGTCTGGTTCAAGAATGGACAGAAAATGGAAAGGGTGGAGACATCTTCTTATAAAGATCAGTTTTATCCTGGAGACATCATCTCCTGTGCTGTAAAAGGACATGAGGATTTCTGCTCTCCTTCAGTGTGTGAGTTTACTCCACTGTGTCAGGAAAAAAACATGCTTATGCACAATACTATTATAATTTCAGACATAACCATATTAGAGTATTCTATACCGTAATAATAAATTTTTCATTGTAAAACTTTATAATGGAGTAAAGTTTCTGAAGATTTATTCCTCACAGACTCGACAGACATCTTAGTAGTAAGAAATCCTAATATTGTCATTCGCTCTGATAAGGTTGTGTGTAAAGCTCCTCTTTTGAAAAGATGTAGTCTATTAAAGAGGTGGTATTCTGCTCATTTTCATTTTCTCTGCCTTTTCTCTTTCTCTCGTTCTCCTGTGCATTTTTTCTACGCACACTCGCGCACTGACTGACCGCTGTGTTGATGTGTGTATGCATGCAATCAATTGCACGTGATGACAGAGATCATGCCATCAGGTTAAAACAAGAAGGGAGGCCGACGGTCTACGGTCTGAGTGACTGTGGCTGCCCTGTGACAGATTCAACTTTAATGGGCCTAATCTCGTTTGACAAAAGTCTGGATGTCAGATTTGACGCGCCTCAAGCAGCGGCACTGCAGGAGAGAGTGAGACGCACCTGTTGTGTGGATTCTCCTGCTATTAAAAAAGCTTGCTATCGCCGCTGGTCAAGTTGTATTACAAAAAAAAAAAAACTGGTAATATTAAGTGGGGTTTTTTATAATTCGCCAACACCGAAAAAAAATTTCAGCACCAGAAAAACAACTCTATCAGTAAATGAGAAACATTATTTTCTCAGGCAGTATGCAAACTGGTCATTGGTCTATCTTCACGAAGCCATCAGAGAGCTTCATGACAGGGGAGGCCATGAGTTTGTCAGAGAGATCCACCTTGTCCCGCCTCTCAATGTTTTCTCTGTATCTTTCTTGTAGTTGGTTGGGGCGTCCATGAAAGGAGGGCTTTTCTTCATGGGCATGTGGAAAGGGTAACTAGCCTCTCCACCCCCAGTGCACTCTTTTCTGCCATCAGTTAGTCTTTCCTGACTGTCCTTCAGTCTTATTCTTATTAATCGAGCGGGTGAATAGATCAAGTTCCTGGGAATCAACGTCACAGAGAACCTGACATGGTCGTCCCACATCTCCATGCTGGTGAAAAAGGCTGGAGCTTAAGAAGGCCAAATTCCCGTGCCAATTCTTATCAGCTTTTACAGAGGAGCAATAGAAACAGAAACACATTTATTTGGTTGTGGTCTGAGAGTGCTGTTTGCTGTCTGACAGTGAATGCGTTGAAAGTGGAGGGGTCCAAGTCAGTGATTGCATAGTCCACTACATTACACCCAAGAGCAGAAGAGTATGTAAATCTCCCTAAAGAGTCTCCTCTGATCCTACAGTCAAGAAAGTACAGACTTGAGGCTCGACAGAGGTGTAGCAGCCCCTGTACCACTACTGTTTGTCACACTATCAAGGTTGTTTCTGTGAGTGATAATTGGAGATTTACTAAGGGGTCTGGCCAAACACGTGATTATTACCTTGTGGGTCAATAATATCCGGTTCAGTACCAGTTCTTGCATTCAGGTCTCCACATAGAAACCCTATATTTCCCTGGACTTGAAAGTGGGTGATTTCTGTGAGGCGATTGCTAAATATTTCCTCAATATGTCGATTTTATTGGTGGGACATAAATTGCACAAAGATAAATTTCCATGCTGATACTTGAATTTAGTTTTAGCCAGATGTGTGACTTCCCTTCCCTATCTGTCTAATAAACAAACACAGAATGAATGAATCGTCCTTGATTACATATTCTAATCTTCAAGTAATTCATTTTCATATCTTCTGCAGATTCTCCAAAGCTTCCCTCTGTGTCAGTGAGTCCCTCTGCTGAGATAGTGGAGGGCAGTTCAGTGACTCTGACCTGCAGCAGTGATGCTAACCCAGCAGCTAAATACACCTGGTACAAGGAGAACCAAACTCTGCTCAGTGAAGAACCACAGCTTGTCTTCAGCTCCATCCAGTCCTCTGACTCTGGAGAGTATTACTGTGCAGCTGAGAACCAGCTGGGGAGGAAGACAACTAATACATCATTAATGTGAAATGTGAGTGAAACAGCTTATTTAAAACTACAAACAGCTCAGTTTTTGCATGAAAAGGATTTTACTAAATCTTTGGTAGGGGTAGAGGCTGAACCCATTATTAGCAGGAGGAACACATAAACAGCAGGTGGAGTTGGAACAAGTCTCAGAAACATCTACTCATCTGTACTTCTCATCCTCTGTTGAGTTGAAGTTGGGTTTCAGATCTCTGTAACGATTGGCTGTCTGTCAGATGCCTAATTACATATATTCAGAGCAATGGACTAGGGCTGACCCTAGTTGAAGCTTTTTGATGCTTCAATGGGAGGAGCCTGATTCGGCTGTCAATCTCACAGTCAAAGCTTGCAACAGCGTTATGAAACAAGGATCGTGTCATTTTGGTGATATGGGGGTGCTCAAACAGAACTCCCAGTTTTCTCCCAATAAGTTAACATGCTGCCTGTTACAATATACACTTCAACATATAGTGCTGTAAATAAACATGTGAAAAGAAAGAAGCTTTTAATAAATGTTTCTAAAGTGCATGAATAAATCCAAAATTGTAACCCTAACCCTTAAGGTCGGGGTGTCAGCGCGCATGTGTGGGCGTAATGTGTATGTGTGTGTAGGTGTAGTGGCAGAGGAACACCTGCTGAAGAGACGGAGCCTCAAGCTTCACCGGTGTTGTGCCGAGCTGTCCGCACCTCGCGGGACGTTTGGATCATTTATCACCGCTGATGAACCTCAGAAAGAATATTATATCGCTTTTAAACAGTACCGCAACGTGCATGTACAGTTAGTTGTGAGGCACGCGCGCCCGCACAGCTCGGTACAAGACCGGTGAAAAGCAGGCGAGCAGAGAGAAACAATAAGCCTCAGTTTAGCTCTAAATGTAACAGTGAGTAATAAATAGAGACTGCAGTACCAACCACATGGACATTGCATGCAGCTCCCCTCTAAGTAACGCCGTGTGAATTGTAATGGTACTTGCCAAAATGTGAGGTTCCAGCAACAAACTGAAGAAATAATGTTTTGCCCACAATGTGAGAAGTTTTGAGGTCAGTTTTTATTTTTTATTCATGTAAGAAGCCCCCAAGTTTCTTCATAGAAAAGGGTCGTGAAGAGAAAACCTGTGGCCAAGTTTCATGTACAAGTCTGTTAGTGACCTGCTAGCTAGCTTTGTAGAGGCAACTACAGCCTTACTCATGAAGCAGGATTACTAAACCAGGCGGATAACAAAGTAACAACTGGGAAATCAAAATAATGAATCAAAATTATCACTGAATTATTACTACATTGCTCCTCCGAGGTTGTGGGACCCCATGCCTATAACAGACCTGTGAACAAAGATTCATAAGTTTTCTCTTTTGTCTCCAGATGCTCCAAAGCTTCCCTCTGTGTCAGTGAGTCCCTCTGCTGAGATAGTGGAGGGCAGTTCAGTGACTCTGACCTGCAGCAGTGATGCTAACCCAGCAGCTAAATACACCTGGTACAAGGAGAACCAAACACTGATTCAGGGACCAGAGGACATTTATCATTTCACCTCTATCAGCTTAGAGGACAGAGGTATATACTACTGCAGGTCTGAGAATGAGTTGGGCCAGATCAACTCCACATCTGTATCCATAGATGTCCAGTGTAAGTACAAAACATCAGCAAAGCACAATGTGTTGAATTATAGATAGTGGATGAGAAGGTCTGATCGGGTTAGGTTTGTAGAAACTAAAGTAGCATCACAAGGGGTTTATGGGATCATTTCAGACATTTTCAAATATATAAATAGTTTTTGTCACTAATCATTCCTCCTGTTCCTCCTTGAAGAGATACCTTGATAGAGCAAAATGTAATCCAATGTTCAGCTGACACTAATCTGAGGGGGGGGAATGCAGTATTTCCACAGACTGGATGTGCTTTTTTTGTTTTTCATTTTAAATAACTTTGTAAAGATTGAAAAATAAAACCCCACATCTTTCACATTGTTATTAAAGGGTATTGTTTGTACAATTTTGAGCAAAATAATGACTTTCATCCATTTTGGAAGAAGGCAATATAGTGAAGCGCTGTGAATACTTTCCAGATGCACTGTGGGTTTCTTCCAGAGACAAACCAGGACAAAGATACCCACTCAGTATTTAACTGCAGTAGTTGATGGTAGATGAACCACATGTGCAGAACGCTGCAGTTGGTGATGAGTCAGGGCCAGACACGCCCACACAAACACACTGACAGGACTAGACATACAAGACTGACAGAAACAGCAGGGAGGGACTGGTCACCACCGGTTTCAACTGGGACACGTGGAAGGTGGGGTGAATCCTCATCGACACAAGGCAATTGGAGTCTGACAGCTGAGGGATTAACAATTCTTTCAATAGAATAGGGACCAATGAACCGAGGTGACAGTTTTCTGGACTCTGAGCTGAGGGGAATATTCTTGGTAGACAACCAGACCTTCTGACCTTGCTTATATTCAGGGGCCGGGACCCTATGTCGGTCTGTCAGGCGGCGGTTGTTCTCCGTAGACTTGAGGAGAGCGGCCCAGGTGTCCCTCCAGAACCTGCGACAGCGGCGGAAGTGGTGTTGGACCGACGGCACTGAGTCACTCTCCTGAGCTGGGAACAGCGGAGATTAGTAGCCCCGAGAGGCCTCGAATGGAGACAGACCCATAGCCGCACTGACAAGGGAGTTGTGGGCGTACTTGACCCAAGCCAGGTGGGAACTCCAACAATCGGCATTCTGGGCAGCGATACATCGGAGGGCTGCCTCCAGGTCTTGGTTGGCCCTCTCAGCTTGTCCATTAGTCTGAGGATGGAAACCAGATGAGAGACTGACAAAACTTGCTCCATACCTTAGAAACAAACTGTGGGCCTCTGTCCGACACTGTGTCTTTGGGAATTCCATGAAGGTGGATCACATGCTGGACAAGGAGATCAGTGGTCTCACGTGCAACAAAGTGGACAGACTTGGAAAAGCGGTCAACTATGGTGAGTATGGTGTCATTACCTTGGGACGGAGGTAGGCCGGTGAGACCATGGACGACCAGGTACAGATAGTGGACGGAGCTCAAAAAAGGGGGGGGGGGGGGGCGATGTGGACGACTTCCCCCGGGCGCAGACTGTGCAGGCTGACACAAACTCCCGTGTGTCTGCCTCCATAGTTGGCCATCAGAAACTTCTCTTGAGCAGGGATAAGGTCCTCCGATACCCAGGGTGGCAGGAAAAGCGTGAGCTGTGGACCCACTGCAGGACCAGTGAATGGACAGGATCAGGCACAAATAAAGGGTTGGCAGGACCGTTACCTGGATCTGGGTGGGCCCTCTGAGCCTCCCTAATGACTGACTGAACCTCCCAGGAAATGGCTGCCACCACGCAGCTGGGAGGGAGGTGTCTGGGCTGGTTTAGTGTTCCTAGAGCCTGGCCTGTAGGTTAGAGACATGTTGAAGCGACCAAAAAACAAAGCCCAATTCTCGATTCCCCACATCATAATTCCTCTCCGCGGGTGTTAGTCGACGTGAGAAGAAGGCACAACGCTGGGACAACACGGCCCCCACCCCACTGTCTGATGCGTCTACCTCGACAATAAACTGCTTGGTGGGATCTGGATGCACTAGGATGGGAGAAGACGTGAACAGGGACTTTAAACTGACAAAGGTAACCTGGGCCTCAGGCTGCCAGGAGAAAGGTGATTTGGTGGAGGTTAGTTTGGTTAAAGGGGCGGCGACCTTACTGTAATCCCTGATAAACCTGTAGTAGAAGTTAGCGAATCCCAAAAATTGTTGTAGCTGTTTACAGGAAACCGGAACCGGCAACTCTACCACTACATAGATCTTGACTGGGTCTGCCTGTATCTGTCCTCGCCCAATGATATAGCCCGAAAATCTCATGGAATTGGAGTGAAATTCACACTTCTCTGCCTTGACATAAAACCGGTTCTCCAGCAGCCGCTGAAGAACCTGGCAGACGTGGGAAACGTGCTTAAATGGGATGTCTGGAAAAAAATCAATATATCATCCAAGTATACAAAAACAAAACGATTCAGGAAGTCACAAAGTACATCGTTCACCAGGTTTTGGAATACTGCAGGCGCATTAGTCAAACCAAAAGGCATTACCTGGCACTCAAAGTGGCCGAGTGGGATGTTGAAAGCAGTCTTCCATTCGTCCCCCTCCTTAATATGCACCAGGTGGTAGGCGTCGCGAAGATCCAGTTTGGAGAAGACTGTGGCTTGCTGCAGGGGTTCGAATGCTGAGTTGATCAGTGGCAAAGGATATTTGTTATGTTGTTTATGTACAACAGTTATGTTGTTCAGGCCACGGTAATCAATACAGGGACGAAGGGATTTATCTTTTTTTGCAGTTTGATCTCACAGTCATAAGATCTTTGAGGTGGGAGAGACAGCGCTAGATCCTTGCTGAACACTCTTCTCAGGTCATGATATTCAGAGGGGACTTTAGATAAGTCAGGGGACTCTAGTGGGGGAGTAGCACCCTCTGCTGGGGGTAATGCAGATTGCAGACAGGAGGATAAGCAGTGAGAACTCCAGCCCAGAGTCTTGCCGGTGGCCCAGTCAATATGAGGATTGCGTAGTTTGAGCCAGGGAAACCCTAAAATGATAGGGGTCTGTGGGGCAGAGATGACTTTAAATGAGATTTTCTTCATGGTGATTTCCAGATAACACTAGTCTAAGGGGTTTCGTAGACTCAACAATATGGGCTGTGTTGGATGTGGCCATCTAGTGCCTGGGCAGTACAGGGCTCAGGAAGTGGTTCCAGAGGGAAACTAGACTGAATGGCCAGACTCCGATTAATAAAATTTCCCTCTGCACTGGAGTCAGTGAGGGCTTGGAGTGGCAGAGAAATCAAAGGCGTGCACAAAGTTGCAGGGATTAGCAGACGAGGGGGATTGTTAGTGGGGCTAAGGTGCTGGCCCCTCAGTACGCCCACGCCTACTGAAGAGCCGGGCCTGTTGGCCGAACCAGGCATGAGGAAACAAAGTGACCCTTGCTGCCACAATAGAGGCACCCTGATTGTGTCTTCGAGAGTGTTCCTCCGGTGTCAACTACATGGGCTCAGGTAGGGAAATGGAAGTTGGCTGCGGCCCAGAGGTAGTGGCAGGGATCATGGGGGCTGCGTAGGTGAGTCGGCGACGTGGCCGAGGATCAGAGGCGGGCCGGTCAGCATGCTCCCTCCGCCGCCGCTCACGCAGACACATTGGTGGATGATCGCAGTGAGGGATTGAACCCGGGTCTCTCACACCAAAGGCAGGCATCTTATCCATTGTGCCATCACCACCCCTTATCCCAAACTGGAAGGGTCATCTCGTGACGCTAATTCATCCTTAATCTCTTCATTTAATCCCTTCCTGAATGCACCCAGTAGCACTGCATCATTCCAGCCCGCGTCGGCGGACAGGGTTCTGAGCTCTAAGTCACCACAGTGATCGGGATGATCAAAAACCTCTCAGAGCATTGCCTCGAATTGGTGCAAAGACAGGGTTGTAATCGGAATATTGACGTTTACTGCTTCTGTCCAGGCTAGTGTTCTCCCTCTTAACAGGCCCAGGATATAGAGTACCTTAGTAGGATCAGAAGCGAAGGTCTGCGGCCGTTGGGTGAACACAATGGCACACTGAAGCAGGAAACCACGGCCTCAGGGTCGGGGGCGTAGGATTCGGTTGAGGAACAGGTCTTAGGGGAGATGGCTGAGTAGAGGAGACTAATTGCAACAGTGCAGTTACTTGATCGGAAAGGCGAGCAATCTGTTCGTGAATACCTTTTTGTGCGTTCATGAGAGTCCGGATGGATTGGTCGTGTTCCCCCAGGAGGATTCCTTGGCTGGCGAGAGCTAACTGACTCCTCGGGGCATCTGCCGTTGTGTCCACCAAATCGATTGTGTCCGCTGATTCAGAAGCGGGTGGCGAGGGAAAAGGGCAGGTAACTCAATGGACGGGCAGGCAAGCAGCGACGGGAGTAACACCGGAGGTAAACTGACAAACTGGCGAAGAGTGGGAGCTGAGCTGGAGTATTTAACTGTAGGAGTTGATAGTAGATGAGCCACAGGTGCGCCCACACACACACTGACAGGACTAGACAGACAAGACTGACAGAAACAGCAGGGAGGGAAAAAACTGAGAAGACACAAGGGAGGGGGAGGAGGCGTAGCCAAATCATGACATCATTTGTCGATGCTTTTTATGATATACTGTATTTTTAATTTAGAGATGTGTCATGTGAAAAATAGACACGTTTTCTGTTCTAGTTAATCTGTTGATATTTTCCTTTTTACAAAGCTTACAGCTTTAGTGGGGGAGAAATTCACCATGCAAATGCCTCTCTTGTCCATCCTGACGTAGTAAATGTTCTATATATGTTAATATTGTATTTTCACTAAATGTTAGTTGGTCACTACACAGTTTCTCCCATGTTGCAGATTATCAAGTGGAGCATTAGTAGATAAGGAACCAAATAAATTATGACATATACTGTTTATGTGTTAATGTTTCTCTTTGGTGCCCCTCCCAGTAGGAGGCACTCAAAACAACAACCTTGTTTGACCGGAAACTAATTCATGTTCATCTCTTCTCCAGATGCTCCAAAGCTTCCCTCTGTGTCAGTGAGTCCCTCTGCTGAGATAGTGGAGGGCAGTTCAGTGACTCTGACCTGCAGCAGTGATGCTAACCCAGCAGCTAAATACACCTGGTACAAGGAGAATGAAGACTCACCAAAAGCATCAGGACAGAACTTCACCATCACTGACTTCAGAGCTGAACACAGTGGGAATTATTACTGTGAAGCCCAGAACAGAAGAGGACGTCATAACTCCACCTTACATCTGATTGTTGTGGCAGGTAAGGTTATACTACATTTAAAGGGGTCCTCATACATCTTTGAGCTGACCTTGGGTTACAGAAGCTCACCTTACTTTAGTTCAGATTATTTTTTAATTTTGACAAAACCGATCCCAAAATAACTTAAACCGTAATTTGTGTCCAGTTATCTTCACTATTGGACCCAAACATTCCTCTAACTTTTCCAGTGTTTGTGCTTGATTGTTGTTTTCCAGGTTCATTGAAATTTCCAGTTGTTCTATCAGTCAGTGCTGTTGTTCTGGTCTTCATACTTCTTCTCTCTGTCTTCATATGGATTAGGTGAGCAGATCAGTTTCTCTGTGATTCAATTTACTATGGATCTTAAAGGACGCGTTCACATTTTTTGGTATCAAGTCAAGTCAGTCTCAAAGCAATAGTCACATTGAAAGTTAGCTGTAATGGTTCCTCATGTTAACACTGGCCCTCAAGAGATCCCCTCTGAAAGCAGTTTCAATGTAAGTGATGCTGGAAATACCATACAAAAAAAGACTAACAGTGATAGATACACAAGAATATGATTTCTGTGTGTATCACTTACATTGAAACTACTTTAGGGAGGGATTTATTTGAGGCCAGTTTGTACAAGAGCAACCAATAACTCTCAATGTACATATGGGCTTTTTAGCATTGTATTAGTGTTTGTTTGAAGAAATGCGTCATGTGTTTAGTTAATAATTTGCTTCTTTTATTTATTCTCCTGTCAGAAAGAGCTCCTTGCAAAAACAACCTGAGGCTGATGAGACACCACACAACAGAGCAGAGGTACAAACAAAAACATGCTGTTCAGTCACCGGTCAGCTGGTCATCTCATTGGTGCATCACTTTCTTCTTTGACTACTTTATCCACCAAATTAACCACATCCTCCTTTATCTATCACCCTCCTACTAGCATCCTTCTCTAGTTACACCTGATAACCTCATGGCCAAACTGAAGATAATGTGCAAGTTTAAGATTCTATCTTAAGTCACGTTTTATAAATGAACGGCATTTATTTTAATAGTTTTTAGACAGGAGAAAAAATCTGACTCACACCTGGTTTACCTGAAAGATTAAAGGAGAGGTTCCACATTCCACATCCAAGTCTGTTTGTTATCCAGGTGTCCATATGAACATTTAAACAGTAATTATTCCTCCTGTTCATTCTACGTTATTAAGAAATCCCTTCCTAATGCACTTTCAGTGTTGTAATGAGGGACAAAATCCAATGTCCTCAATCTGTGTGAAAATTATTTAAAAGTTTATCTGAAGGTAAAATGAGGCTTTAGCCATCCAAGTTACACAAATCAAACGGGTCTCTTACAAAGTCAGTGATTTCATCCCAGCACTATATAAAACATGACTGACTGTTGTTTTAAAACTGACAAACTTTTACTTTAAATACCCACAATGAATTAAGCAGTCTTTCTCCAGACATACTTCTGGCACATGGTTCACCTAAATTGAACAACAAACTTCTTGTACACTATCTGGTTCATGGGGCATTAAGTAAAATGTGAATACTATTATCATCTGCTGCTGGTATTGCAACACAAAGAGAAGCATGTTTCCATCCAATTGTCATGCAAAGTTGAAGCGGACTCTTGAAATGTCGCAAAAAAGAAAAAAAGGGAAATGTGAAATGGCTCATCAGCTGTTTTGGAGTGAATACACCAGTCGCATGGAACTAATGGCCACTGATCTTAGAAAACTGGAGAGAGGTCCTCAGAATTGTGTTTCAAGCGGGCAAGTTGCTACCAGCCATGTCTCCACACGTTATGGGAATATTGGTCAAGATGCCAACAGCGGAAACAGCTGATCAGACGTGAGTTACAAGTTCGCTACATCAGAACTTATTCGGCAAAAGTGTTTCCATCTCCCAAGTAGTGCATTAAGAGTTTTTCGACAAAGGCAAAAAACACCTCAAGCCAGCGTAAAAAGTTTTTTGCGAGATTAAGGATTTTGTGTTTTTAATTTTGCCGTTTTCATCAACCTTTTCTAATGCCACACTTCAAAATGCGCATAAATAACATTGATGGAAACACGGATACAGACTGATATCAAGCCTCAGGATCACAGTTCTTTGGTTTAGCAAATTAGGCTGAACACACTCCACCTTATACCCTGCAGATATTTTACTGAGTGGTCCTGTCATGCTGCAGTTCAGAGTTCTGTTTGTCTTGTAAAGAGTACATGGAAAATGTAATAGTGACTATCTCTGTGACCAGCAGACAGATGAAACTCAGGATGCAACCATACGATTCGTAAGAAACCAGGCAGAGGCTCTCTACTCCAACAACAGCCCAGCTCAGCCCCTCAGAAACGAGGAGGAGGTTGTTTACGCGGCCCCCAACTTCAACAGTGCCGCAGGGTGAGCAGCTCTTCACACAGGACAATCTTTGTTGCTGTTTAATTTAAATAATTTAAATAAAGTAAAATTGAAAGTGTTTAATCCCACATGTTCTATGTTTTTTTAGTGTTTTTATTAAATGTTCTTCTTTTAAATTATTGATTCCTTCACAGAACAAGGCCTCAAGCAGCTGTGGAGGATGTATCTGCCCTGTACAGCAGAGTTAGTAGACGACACTGAGTGTGGTGACAACATGGATCTGTGGTCTGTATTTATGCATGGACTTTCTATGCCTTTTCTTAGCAGGTGGCCCCATTTGATTTTTCCTCAGGACAGACTGGGCCAAGAATGCAGAATCAAGGCAGCAATAATCATTTATACATCGATTATATTAATGAAGGACAGATAGATTAAATATTAGACACTTCTCTGATGGTTTAAACAAAACTGGACATTTAAACCTTTGTGAAGAATTTATTACAGGACTGTTGTGTTAAACTGCATTACTTTAGCTCCGTCTACCATTTTTTCAGGACTTTACAATTTTGATTATTATATGATCACATTTGTCATAATGTTTGTTTTTTTTTTTTTTTTAAAGGGACAGTGCACATCAGTGAACATAAGGACAATGCCCAAATGTAAATGAGCCAGATTTAGCCATACAGACTCATTTTTATCTGGAGTCCCTGGCAGGTTGATGTTATAAGAATAAGTCACATCTATTGTCAGTATTCATATGCTAATTTTCTGAACTTGTATTTTTATTGCATGGTCATGTCCGCTCATTATTGGCTGCCTATATTGCTGTATGTATTTATCTGCTTTGAAAACTCATGTTTGCTTCATCTTGCATGTAAAATAGTGAGTAAGACACAAGATAAGACCTTTTCTTTCTTGCACTCCTTGTCTGCCCTGATGAGAGACTGCTTGGTAACACTTTTTAAAATGTAAATAGATATAAACTGTATTTTTCATTTGCATTTTAAGCCTTTGACATGGAGTTTGTGTTTCAGTCGGATTAAACAGCAACAACGTTTATCGCATCTTTTTGTTGTTGTTACATCTGAAATGAAAGGCACTCAACCATTTTGGTTCACAAGTTTATATGAAATGAATATGAGGCTTAAGCCGTCTGAGTTAGACAAACAAAGTGCTCATCTCCCAAGTTACTGTCCTTTTAGTACCACATGCCCACTTTGTGTTTATTTTGTGTTTCCTGGCTGAGTTTCTGAGTTTCCCAATAAAAAGACTGTACCTACACAGGCTTCTCACTTTATTTGTCTAACCCAGACTGCCTCAGATTAGCCCTCTATGTATCTTTGCACAGACTGAGGACTGATGCTCATTCTGAGTCAGCATTGTTCTTTATTGGGAAATCTCCATGTGGCAGATAAAAGTCTGCTGAGCACCATCTGATTCCTTCAGTCTCCCTTAATAGGATTTATTATAGCAAAGCCCACAAATTAAATTTCATTCAGGCAGTTAGAGGTCTACATCTCAAAGAAAGACTCCTAAATTGCCAATAGTTGTATTAGCACAAACATAAATAATTATACTCCTTCAGAAAGTGCTGAGGTGATCAGTAGCAGTAGCCAGATGCCCAGACAGGTATCAACTGCCTGTAACATCTCTCAAGCTGTTTGTGTCTGTGAGGGAATTTAGGCCATGTTAATGGAGGTGACCTGCTAAACTTAACCTGTCTTCTTATGTCTCATGTCTCTGGACAGGGTGCTGCTGAAAATGACATTACAAATGACAAAGAAAAGTTGACATGATGCGTTTGACTGCATTTCTTAAGTGTTAAATCAGTATTAAGTTTTTGTCACATGATTTTACATAAGATCAATCCAGGTTGTTGAGTGACTTGTTTATTCTTTGTAACGTCACAAAACATTCACAATGACTTTGATGTGTCATTATCACACTGTCTGTTTGAGGCCAAACCATTCTGAGTTACAATACTTTGTATGAGATCATTAGAATAATAATGCTATTGTATGGTCTGGTTTAGTGTTTATGGATGTGACCACCTTTTTGTGAACATGTAGTTCTTATGTGGGGACAAGGCCTGAAGGTTAACCGTATTTCCTCTTCAAACAACTAAAACAACAATAAAAAAAATGAATGTATGAAAAAAAATCCATAAATGTCAAATCAGTTGTCAGTATTTTAAGCACAACCTGGACGGAAACTCCAGTTTTTAAACATTGCACAGTTAATGCCACTCACAGGACAGTGTGAAAAATTGAGGTTTGATTCTTAGATAGTTCCTAAAAAGACTATTAATACTTTCAGAGACAAACCAACAGCATTCACTGCTGCTGTGAGAACAAACAATCACTTCCTGTTCATGTGGTGACTCGTCAGCTTTTCTGTTTGACCTGTGAGATCTCTTAATACAGTCTCCAAACTCTACAGGCATCAATGCAAACTGATTTAGAGCTGCATGTTTTCATCACAAACACTGAGTATTGGGAACATATTCTCTGTGTATGCAATGGACTTTTGTTCTTTTTCATCCAATAGAAACAATATTTTCCATCCATATTCTTCTAACTTGTGGGGTAGTTCAAAGATCCTGCACACCTGTGTGGGTATGTAGGGCCTTCAATGTATGACAAAGTCTCTACTACAGCTGGTAGAGCTGATGATCAGCTGCTTCTCTAAAGACGTATTTCCTCTGTTCTTCTCTCCTTGCATGTTTTCCTTGCAACAACTTCCACCAGCTCTGTGTCAAGGCCTGCCCCCACTCTCCCGCTACGGTGTCTCTGATTGGCTAATATTAACCCTTACTCCACCCTAAACCAAACCTTAACTAAAGTAATAAATAGAGGCAGTGAGAACAATCCAGTGAGTCAAGAGTTGTCAGAAAGCTGGTGGGGGAAAAGATTTGACTTTTCTCGCGTCTCTCCATGCTTCTAAGGTGGGGGGGACTAAGATGCAATGAAAAGATTGAAATGATGACGGGAGGCAAGGTGAGGAGCTGAGGATGTACAAACTGAGACCTGGGTTGTTGTGTAAAGTAAAAAATGCATCATTTGCAAAACAACAGTAAGAATCATGTCTTCATTTCAACTTGGAGATGTACAGTCTGTTCCTGCATACTAATGATGTGAAGAGGAAGAAAGTCAGGGCGGCCTTTAACACTTCAGTATCTGTTTTAACACATGTGTACCAAGCACAGAGACAGACTGTCTTCAAAGACAGCATCCTCCCTTTTTCATTACAAATGTTCATTGGGACTAACTGACATACAGGACTTTTCATGTATCTGATCTACCTGCTGATTTAACAGACGTGAGGAGCAGCTATGAGTTTAACAGCAGCAGCGAGTGGATTTGTCTTCCTTCTCTCTGTACAAGGTACTGTCCATCTTTATGTTGTGGTAGCACACTTCAGAAAATCAGAGGAAGGTGGGTTTCTTAGTAAATAAATAGATTTGATATGTGATGTTATGCAATGTGGTGCGACCCCTGCAACACCAGACACTAACTTCTCTCTTCAAGTTTTTACAAGACGTCCATCAGAGAACAGAGTCAGTGTCATGTCTTTCATTTAATAGGAAATGACTCACCGTAGGAGTTGAAAGGTAGATAATAAAACTTAAAGTCACACTAATGAATATTTTTATATTAACAATGGTTTGAATAATTGTATAATGTTGAAGATGTTGGTTGTAGTAATGAAGCCACAGAGAATAATCACCTGAATCTGCAGTTCCTCTCAGCTCTACAGAGAGTTTCCTGTTTTGTTTCGCTCTCACCAGCCTTGTTTCCAGCAGCTGCAGCTGATTTCAGTGAAAAGGCTCTAAAAACACCCTGTACACTACCTCTCTAGTACTAAATGACTAGCTGGTGACCATAGCTAATGGCTAGCTGCTAACGAGCCAGACGTTTTCCTACTTCCCCACCTACAAACACTGACCAAGCTGCGTGTGTTGCTGCCTGGAAATGAATGACCTCAGTTTGTACATGTGATTCTAACAATAAAGTTAGGGGAATAAATTAGGGGAATGTTTAATTAAATCTATTATAGTATTTCCGATATTCCTGAATATGTCACAGATTCACTGATGCTGCAAATTCAGATATGTTGGTTTGAGAGGTTCACAAACTGAATTATGTATATTTGTGTTGATTTAAACGCAGCTATAACTTTAAATTCCGCCTTTAAAACAGACATGGGAATCAGCCAATGTTGTTATTACTTTCATTAAGTTACAATAATAAGTGTTTGTCTACATACCACAGTAGCTGTCCACACCTCAGTGGTCTGCATTTCTCTACAGTTTCCATTCACACCTGCAGCAGCCGACCACAGACAGGAAAGCAACTCAGCAAAGCAGACTCCTTTTTTCATGTAGCCTATCACACCCCTCTAATATTTAATGTTACGCTTTTTTATCCTGTTCAGTAAATACACAGTTTCAGTACATCGCTGTTCCTTCACTGCACCCTCTGTATGATGTCCTGCTGTCACGTGTTCATCTCTGGTTCCTTTGCGTTTTATATTCTCATGTAAAAGTGAATGATTTGAAGACTTAGATTGATTGATTGAAGGCATAAACCAGAAGTAATTAGAACATTTAAAACATATTAAAACAGACTTTACAAAGTCCCCAACAGAGAAGTAAAACTACAAGAAAAACTTGTGATACAGAATAAATCTAGTATTCAGTTACAGTTAGGAAAATATTCTGAGAACACTGAGATTATTGTTCTCACACTGACTTAAACCTACAGTGCTGAACTTTCAACACTTCTGACATACAGTATATATATATATATATATACAGGCTCTGCCATGCGAAATTGCTGCTGTTGCTACAGTCGCTCCTATGTTCAGTTCTGGCAAACCGATCATTGCTGGTTGACATAAAACACGTAACTATCGATTCACCAGAGCAGTAATGTTGTCATAGACATCGGGATTTAAAAACTCTGGTAAACTGCCAATACAGACAGAGTTACTTGGCAGTTATAGGCTTAATCAGCATTGTGTGAACTTGTTTGGAAATGGTTTGAATGTAATGTTCATTTATATGTAAAAGTCCCACATTCCTGCTGGTTGGATGCAAAGTAGTTTTGGAAAATGTAGCTTCACACGCTGAAGCACCTCCACTACAAATGAAAGTCTGTGTCCTGATGTTGTTGAGTCTGACTGTAGTTTCTGATGTGCTCTGTGTTACAGTGATACAGGCTCAGAATGGCTGGGGAGTGACTTACACCTCTACTCAGATCTGTGCCTTAAAAGGATCAACAGTGGAAATAAGCTGCACCTACACATACCCATCCAGAATAAATGGCCGTGATACTACAGTTGAGGAAACATTCTGGTTTACTCAGATGAATGGAGATGTACCTGTGGATCTGAGAACAGACTCAGAGTACGCAGGTCGTTTGCAGAACAGTTGTTCTAACAACATCTGCACTCTGAGAATCACAGACCTGAGAGAGAGCGACTCAGCTGAGTACAAGTTCAGGTTCATAACAAACCAACCAGGTGGAAGATTTACTGGTTCACCTGGAGTCACTTTGTCTGTCACAGGTAACATTCATCTGATTTTAAATAATTTATAAATATGTTGCATTGCGCATGTGTATTTATGGTCTAAAATAATGTTCCTGTTCCTTCTTCACAAATCCAGATCTCCAGGTGCAGGTTAGCAGACCAAACGTTGGCATGATTACTACTGAGGCAGAGCTGCTTTGTCACAGCAGCTGTCGTCTGCCTGATCGTCCTTCCTACATCTGGTACAAGAATGGACAGAAAATTCAGACAGAAACATCTTCTTCTTATTCAGGCTACTTTGGTTCTCCAGACAGTTATTCCTGTGCTGTGAAAGGACTGGAGGGTTTCCCCTCTCCTTCAGTGTGTGAGTTTACTCCACAATCTTCCACTAACATAACACCATCTGGTGGAGCCGAATCACTACATGTATTTTAAATAAAGAGACCCTCATTGTGACTCCTCACCAGATCTGGTTTAAAGATGGTCTTAAACTGTTTTATCTTTCAGGTATTCGTGGTCAAACCTGCAGCAGAGTGACTTACACTGACAGAAGCATCTGTGCCTTCAAAGGCTCATCAGTGGACATTTCTTGTACTTACAACAGTTATGACACAGATATCAGATCTAAATTCTGGTTCAGTCCTGAACGTAGTCTTCAGTGGCAGAATCCCTCACAGCCTGAGGACCTTAGTGAAGACTCCCAGTATGCAGGTCGTGTTCAGGTCCTTGAAACAGAGAGAGGACGCTCCACTCTGAGAATCACTGACCTGAGAGAGAGCGACTCAGCTGAGTATCACTTCAAATTCACAGCACATACCTTTGAATGGAGGAGTAGTTTACCTGGTACAACTCTGACTGTCACAGGTACTGATGAACACAAACTGTAACAGCACATTTAAACTATCTGATGACAAGTGAATGTGCAGAATAGTGATCCTGATGAGAAATAATGTTTGTGTGATTAAGTGATTGGATGATGGTCACAATGTTTTATTGTTGTTTAAATCTCTGTGTATGTCTGTTTGATTCAGTTTCACAAAAATAATTTTTCAAATATTTCTGTTTTTTCTCCACAGATTTAGATCTCCAGGTGCAGGTGATCAGATCAACAGTCTACCAGAATTATACTGAGGCAGAGCTGCTTTGTCACAGCAGCTGTCGTCTTCCTGATCGTTCTTCCTACATCTGGTTCAAGAATGGACAGAAAATGGAAAGGGTGGAGACATCTTCTTATAAAGATCAGTTTTATCCTGGAGACATCATCTCCTGTGCTGTAAAAGGACATGAGGATTTCTGCTCTCCTTCAGTGTGTGAGTTTACTCCACTGTGTCAGGAAAAAAACATGCTTATGATCCTAATATTGTCATTTGCTCTGATAAGGTTGTGTGTAAAGCTCCTCTTTTGAAAAGATGTAGTCTATTAAAGAGGTGGTATTCTGCTCATTTTCAGGTTCAAAATCTTAATTAGGGGTTGTACCAGAACAGGTTTACATTTCAAAAAACACCATATTTTTCTCATACTGCACATTGCTGCAGCTCCTCTTTTCACCCTGTGTGTTGTACGCTCCGCTCTTGAGCTACAGAGTGATGCATCTTACTTGTACAAAATCTTTGCTGGGAGTTGCACATGCGTAGTTCCCAGGTAAGGACTACTAGCCAATCAGAAGCAGAGAAGGGCGGGTCGTAAGAAACAAGGTAGTGTGATCCAAATCAAAGTCTTCAGACTGCGACCGAAACCTAGCAGATGGTAAAAGTTACTCACAAGTCCACAACCACACAACATCATTGTTCCACATCTTACCATAAACCACTACAAAAATCACAATATTTCAACTCAATTTTACATCAAAATTGGCCAAACAATTTGAACGTTTGCTCAGTAGCTTTCACATCAGGTGTAACATTAGCATTATAGCTATAACTTTATCTGTGTTGGCCAACGTTTACAGCAACTCCGCACTTGAACAGTCTGAAGTTACATTGCCGTGTTTATTTTAAATATAATTCACAACCGATAAAGCATACTTACAGGTTGTGATTGTGAATTTCCAGGCCCAAACAGAGTCGGAGTAGCATCGTCTTTTAGGACTAATCTATGCTGCCTTCACCGAAAAATTCTACCAGAGCGCAAATCGATAGACTCGACTCTACTCGGCCCTGCTCCGTTTTCGTTACAGATAGTACCCAGAGATAGTACGTAGCTTGTCGTCATAGCAACGCCACACACAACTTCCGTAACGTAATGTCTTTAAACACCATCTGTAATTTCACAGCATTTAAGGGCTCTTTTCTCCATCTCAGCTCTGCCTTTTCTCTTTCTCTCGTTCTCCTGTGCATTTTTTCTACGCACACTCGCGCACTGACTGACCGCTGTGTTGATGTGTGTATGCATGCAATCAATTGCACGTGATGACAGAGATCATGCCATCAGGTTAAAACAAGAAGGGAGGCCGACGGTCTACGGTCTGAGTGACTGTGGCTGCCCTGTGACAGATTCAACTTTAATGGGCCTAATCTCGTTTGACAAAAGTCTGGATGTCAGATTTGACGCGCCTCGAGCGGCGGCACTGCAGGAGAGAGTGAGACGCGCCTGTTGTGTGGATTCTCCGCCGCTGGTCAAGTTGTATTACAAAAGAAAAAATACTGGTAATATTAAGTGGGGTTTTTTATAATTCGCCAACACCGAAAAAAATTTCGGCACCACAAAAACAAATCCATCGTAAACGAGAAACATTATTTTCTCAGGCAGTATGCAAACTGGTCATTGGTCTATCTTCACCAAGCCATCAGAGAGCTTCATGACAGGGGAGGCCATGAGTTTGTCAGAGAGATCCACCTTGTCCCGCCTCTCAATGGACCACCGGGCTGTTTTCTCTGTATCTTTCTTGTAGTTGGTTGGGGCGTCCATGAAAGGAGGGCTTTTCTTCATGGGCATGTGGAAAGGGTAACTAGCCTCTCCACCCCCAGTGCACTCTTTTCTTCCATCAGTTAGTCTTTCCTGACTGTCCTTCAGTCTTACTCTTATTAATAGAGCGGGTGAATAGATCAAGTTCCTGGGAATCAACGTCACAGAGAACCTGACATGGTCGTCCCACATGCTCCCAGCTTTTACAGAGGAGCAATGGAAACAGAAACACATTTATTTGGTTGTGGTCTGAGAGTGCTGTTTGCTGTCTGACAATAAATGCGTTGAAAGTGGAGGGGTCCATGTCAGTGATTGCATAGTCCACTACATTACACCCAAGAGCAGAAGAGTATGTAAATCTCCCTAAAGAGTCTCCTCTGATCCTACAGTCAAGAAAGTACAGACTTGAGGCTCGACAGAGGTGTAGCAGCCCCTGTACCACTACTGTTTGTCAAACTATCAAGGTTGTTTCTGTGAGTGATAATTGGAGATTTACTAAGGGGTCTGGCCAAACACGTGATTATTACCTTGTGGGTCAACAATATCCGGTTCAGTACCAGTTCTTGCATTCAGGTCTCCACATAGAAACCCTATATTTCCCTGGACTTGAAAGTGGGTGATTTCTGTGAGGAGATTGCTAAATATTTCCTCAATATGTCGATTTTATTGGTGGGACATAAATTGCACAAAGATAAATTTCCATCCTGATACTTGAATTTAGTTTTAGCCAGATGTGTGACTTCCCTTCCCTATCTGTCTAATAAACAAACACAGAAGTTTTAATGGATCGTCCTTGATTACATATTCTAATATTTAAGTAATTCATGTTCATCTCTTCTCCAGATGCTCCAAAGCTTCCCTCTGTGTCAGTGAGTCCCTCTGCTGAGATAGTGGAGGGCAGTTCAGTGACTCTGACCTGCAGCAGTGATGCTAACCCAGCAGCTAAATACACCTGGTACAAGGAGAATGAAGACTCACCAAAAGCATCAGGACAGAACTTCACCATCACTGACTTCAGAGCTGAACACAGTGGGAATTATTACTGTGAAGCCCAGAACAGAAGAGGACGTCATAACTCCACCTTACATCTGATTGTTGTGGCAGGTAAGGTTATACTACATTTAAAGGGGTCCTCACACATCTTTGAGCTGACCTTGGGTTACAGAAGCTCACCTTACTTTAGTTTGGATTATTTTTTAAACTTTGACAAAACCGATCCCAAAATAACTTAAACCATAATTTGTGTCCAGTTATCTTCACTATTGGACCCAAACATTCCTGTAACTTTTCCAGTGTTTGTGCTTGATTGTTGTTTTCCAGGTTCATTGAAATTTCCAGTTGTTCTATCAGTCAGTGCTGTTGTTCTGGTCTTCATACTTCTTCTCTCTGTCTTCATATGGATTAGGTGAGCAGATCAGTTTCTCTGTGATTCAATTTACTATGGATCTTAAAGGACGCGTTCACATTTTTTGGTATCAAGTCAAGTCAGTCTCAAAGCAATAGTCACATTGAAAGTTAGCTGTAATGGTTCCTCATGTTAACACTGGCCCTCAAGAGATCCCCTCTGAAAGCAGTTTCAATGTAAGTGATGCTGGAAATACCATACAAAAAAAGACTAACAGTGATAGATACACACAGAATATGATTTCTGTGTGTATCTATCACTTACATTGAAACTACTTTAGGGAGGGATTTATTTGAGGCCAGTTTGTACAAGAGCAACCAATAACTCTCAATGTACATATGGGCATTTTAGCATTGTATTAGTGTTTGTTTGAAGAAATGCGTCATGTGTTTAGTTAATAATTTGCTTCTTTTATTTATTCTCCTGTCAGAAAGAGCTCCTTGCAAAAACAACCTGAGGCTGATGAGACACCACACAACAGAGCAGAGGTACAAACAAAAACATGCTGTTCAGTCACCGGTCAGCTGGTCATCTCATAGGTGCATCACTTTCTTCTTTGACTACTTTATTCACCAAATTAACCACATCCTCCTTTATCTATCACCCTCCCTACTAGCATCATTCTCTAGTTACACCTGATAACCTCATGGCCAAACTGAAGATAATGTGCAAGTTTAAGATTCTATCTTAAGTCACGTTTTATAAATGAACGGCATTTATTTTAATAGTTTTTAGACAGGAGAAAAAATCTGACTCACATCTGGTTTACCTGAAAGATTAAAGGAGAGGTTCCACATTCCACATCCAAGTCTGTTTGTTATCCAGGTGTCCATATGAACATTTAAACAGTAATTATTCCTCCTGTTCATTCTACGTTATTAAGAAATCCCTTCCTAATGCACTTTCAGTGTTGTAATGAGGGACAAAATCCAATGTCCTCAATCTGTGTGAAAATTATTTAAAAGTTTATCTGAAGGTAAAATGAGGCTTTAGCCATCCAAGTTACACAAATCAAACGGGTCTCTTACAAAGTCAGTAATTTCATCCCAGCACTATATAAAACATAAGACTGTTGTTTTAAAACTGACAAACTTTTACTTTAAATACCCACAATGAATTAAGTCTTTCTCCAGACATACTTCTGGCACATGGTTCACCTAAATTGAACAACAAACTTCTTGTACACTATCTGGTTCATGGGGCATTAAGTAAAATGTGAATACTATTATCATCTGCTGCTGGTATTGCAACACAAAGAGAAGCATGTTTCCATCCAATGTCATGCAAATTTGAAGCGGACTCTTGAAATGTCGCAAAAAAGAAAAAAAGGGAAATGTGAAATGGCTCATCAGCTGTTTTGGAGTGAATACACCAGTCGCATGGAACTAATGGCCACTGATCTTAGAAAACTGGAGAGAGGTCCTCAGAATTGTGTTTCAAGAGGGCAAGTTGCTACCAGCCATGTCTCCACACGTTATGGGAATATTGGTCAAGATGCCAACAGCAGAAACAGCTGATCAGACGTGAGTTACAAGTTCGCTACATCAGAACTTATTCGGCAAAAGTGTTTCCATCTCCCAAGTAGTGCATTAAGAGTTTTTCGACAAAGGCAAAAAACACCTCAAGCCAGCGTAAAAAGTTTTTTGCGAGATTAAGGATTTTGTTTTTTCTGGGGTTTTTTTTCATCAACCTTTTCTAATGCCACATAAATAACATTGATGGAAACACGGCTACAGACTGATATCAAGCCTCAGGATCACAGTTCTTTGGTTTAGCAAATTAGGCTGAACACACTCCACCTTATACCCTGCAGATATTTTACTGAGTGGTCCTGTCATGCTGCAGTTCAGAGTTCTGTTTGTCTTGTAAAGAGTACATGGAAAATGTAATAGTGACTATCTCTGTGACCAGCAGACAGATGAAACTCAGGATGCAACCATACGATTCGTAAGAAACCAGGCAGAGGCTCTCTACTCCAACTACAGCCCAGCTCAGCCCCTCAGAAACGAGGAGGAGGTTGTTTACGCGGCCCCCAACTTCAACAGTGCCGCAGGGTGAGCAACTCTTCACACAGGACAATCTTTGTTGCTGTTTAATTTAAATAAAGTTAAATAAAAATAGAAAGTGTTTAATCCCACATGTTCTATGTTTTTTTAGTGTTTTTATTAAATGTTCTTCTTTTAAATTATTGATTCCTTCACAGAACAAGGCCTCAAGCAGCTGTGGAGGATGTATCTGCCCTGTACAGCAGAGTTAGTAGACGACACTGAGTGTGGTGACAACATGGATCTGTGGTCTGTATTTATGCATGGACTTTCTATGCCTTTTCTAGCAGGTGGCCCCATTTGATTTTTCCTCAGGACAGACTGGGCCAAGAATGCAGAATCAAGGCAGCAATAATCATTTATACATCGATTATATTAATGAAGGACAGATAGATTAAATATTAGACACTTCTCTGATGGTTTAAACAAAACTGGACATTTAAACCTTCGTGAAGAATTTATTACAGGACTGTTGTGTTAAACTGCATTACTTTAGCTCGTGTACCATTTTTTCAGGACTTTACAATTTTGATTATTATATGATCACATTTGGTCATAATGTTTGGGTTTTTTGTTTGTTTTTTTAAAGGGACAGTGCACATCAGTGAACATAAGGACAATGCCCAAATGTAAATGAGCCAGATTTAGCCATACAGACTCATTTTTATCTGGAGTCCCTGGCAGGTTGATGTTATAAGAATAAGTCACATCTATTGTCAGTATTCATATGCTGATTTTCTGAACTTGTATTTTTATTGCATGGTCATGTCCGCTCATTATTGGCTGCCTATATTGCTGTATGTATTTATCTGCTTTGAAAACTCATGTTTGCTTCATCTTGCATGTAAAATAGTGAGTAAGACACAAGATAAGACCTTTTCTTTCTGGAGAAAGAGAGACTGCTTGGTAACACTTTTTAAAATGTAAATAGATATAAACTGTATTTTTCATTTGCATTTTAAGCCTTTGACATGGAGTTTGTGTTTCAGTCGGATTAAACAGCAACAACGTTTATCGCATCTTTTTGTTGTTGTTACATCTGAAATGAAAGGCACTCAACCATTTTGGGGCATAAATCAACTTTGATAATAATAGTTTTTGGGGTGATATAAATTCTCTAAACCGTGGTTTAACAATCTGTACATATGATGGTGCTAACAGAGCTCAAAGGAAGGAAGTTTGTTGTTTATCCAGTTTGTCTCCTTGTTGCTTGAAACGCTGAAGTGTGTAGTGATTACTGAGAATCGGTGTGTGACCATATCTATTGTCTCAGACCTAAATGTTCTGCACAAATGTTAAAGTTTAACTAGTTAAAGATCTACAAGACAAACGTCTGTATCTGCTGTTATCATTCCACTTGTCCAAACTGGACGTTAAGATATCCTTTGGTAAAAAAGGGGGACAATATGCCGTCCTCTGTGCAAAAATGTATTCACAAGTTTATATGAAATGAATATGAGGCTTAAGCCGTCTGAGTTAGACAAACAAAGTGCTCATCTCCCAAAGTTACTGTCCTTTTAGTACCAAATGCCCACTTTGTGTTTACTTTGTGTTTCCTGGCTGAGTTTCTGAGTTTCCCAATAAAAAAGACTGTACCTACACAGGCTTCTCACTTTATTTGTCTAACCCAGACTGCCTCAGATTAGCCCTCTATGTATCTTTGCACAGACTGAGGACTGATGCTCATTCTGAGTCAGCATTGTTCTTTATTGGGAAATCTCCATGTGGCAGATAAAAGTCTGCTGAGCACCATCTGATTCCTTCAGTCTCCCTTAATAGGATTTATTATAGCAAAGCCCACAAATTAAATTTCATTCAGGCAGTTAGAGGTCTACATCTCAAAGAAAGACTCCTAAATTGCCAATAGTTGTATTAGCACAAACATAAATAATTATACTCCTTCAGAAAGTGCTGAGGTGATCAGTAGCAGTAGCCAGATGCCCAGACAGGTAACAACTGCCTGTAACATCTCTCAAGCTGTTTGTGTCTGTGAGGGAATTTAGGCCATGTTAATGGAGGTGACCTGCTAAACTTAACCTGTCTTCTTATGTCTCATGTCTCTGGACAGGGTGCTGCTGAAAATGACATTACAAATGACAAAGAAAAGTTGACATGATGCGACTGCATTTCTTAAGTGTTAAATCAGTATTAAGTTTTTGTCACATGATTCACAATGACTTTGATGTGTCATTATCACACTGTCTGTTTGAGGCCAAACCATTCTGAGTTACAATACTTTGTATGAGATCATCAGAATAATACATGCAATTGTATGGTCTGGTTTAGTGTTTATGGATGTGACCACCTTTTTGTGAACATGTAGTTCTTATGTGGGGACAAGGCCTGAAGGTTAACCGTATTTCCTCTTCAAACAACTAAAACAACAATAAAAAAATGAATGTATGAAAAAAAATCCATAAATGTCAAATCAGTTGTCAGTATTTTAAGCACAACCTGGACGGAAACTCCAGTTTTTAAACATTGCACAGTTAATGCCACTCACAGGACAGTGTGAAAAATTGAGGTTTGATTCTTAGATAGTTCCTAAAAAGTCTATTAATACTTTCAGAGACAAACCAACAGCATTCACTGCTGCTGTGAGAACAAACAATCACTTCCTGTTCATGTGGTGACTCGTCAGCTTTTCTGTTTGACCTGTGAGATCTCTTAATACAGTCTCCAAACTCTACAGGCATCAATGCAAACTGATTTAGAGCTGCATGTTTTCATCACAAACACTGAGTATTGGGAACATATTCTCTGTGTATGCAATGGACTTTTGTTCTTTTTCATCCAATAGAAACAATATTTTCCATCCATATTCTTCTAACTTGTGGGGTAGTTCAAAGATCCTGCACACCTGTGTGGGTATGTAGGGCCTTCAATGTATGACAAAGTCTCTACTACAGCTGGTAGAGCTGATGATCAGCTGCTTCTCTAAAGACGTATTTCCTCTGTTCTTCTCTCCTTGCATGTTTTCCTTGCAACAACTTCCACCAGCTCTGTGTCAAGGCCTGCCCCCACTCTCCCGCTACGGTGTCTCTGATTAGCTAATATTAACCCTTACTCCACCCTAAACCAAACCTTAACTAAAGTAATAAATAGAGGCAATGAGAACAATCCAGTACGAGTTGTCAGAAAGCTGGTGGGGGAAAAGATTTGACTTTTCTTGTGTCTCCATGCTTCTAAGGTGGGGGGGACTAAGATGCAATGAAAAGATTGAAATGATGACGGGAGGCAAGGTGAGGAGCTGAGGATGTACAAACTGAGACCTGGGTTGTTGTGTAAAGTAAAAAATGCATCATTTGCAAAACAACAGTAAGAATCATGTCTTCATTTCAACTTGGAGATGTACAGTCTGTTCCTGCATACTAATGATGTGAAGAGGAAGAAAGTCAGGGCGGCCTTTAACACTTCAGTGTCTGTTTTAACACAAGAGTACCAAGCACAGAGACAAACTGTCTTCAAAGACAGCGTCCTCCCTTTTTCATTACAAATGTTCATTGGGACTAAGTGACATTTTGGTTATATTAAAACCCCTTGTTGAACTATACCTGCTCCACTCTGTGTCCTGCGTTTGGGTCCTCCAACCTGCCTCCACACCACGATCGTGACAGCGAGTGGATTTGTTGTCTTCCTTCTCTCTGTACAAGGTACTGGACATCTTTATATTGTGTTAGCGCACTTCAGAAAATCAGAGGAAGATGACTTTTATTTTTATATATATATATATATATATATATAATAATAATACGATTTGATGTGTGTTATACAATGTGGTGCGACCCCTGCAACACCAGACATTCACTTCTTTCTTTAAATTGAACTCTTTACAAGACGTCCAACAGAAAACGTGAGTCAGTGTCATGTCTGTCTTTTCACAGGAGATCACTAACTGTAGGAGTTGAAAGGTGGACAACATAACTTAAAGTTAAAAAATCTGCAGTTTCCCTCAAAACATTTGTTACACTCTCACCAGCCTTGTTTCCAGCATCAGCTGCAGCTGATTTCAGTGAAAAGGCTCTAAAAACACCCTGTACACTACCTGCCTAGTACCAAATGACTAGCTGGTGACCATAGCTAATGGCTAGCTGCTAACGAGCCAGACGTTTTCCTACTTCCCCACCTACAAACACTGACCAAGCTGGGTGTGCTGCTGCCTGGAAAGGAACTCATGACCTCGGTCTGTACATTTAATTTTTCAGAACAAGTTAATAAAATTAGGGGAGTGTTTAATCAAATCCATTATAAGATAGTATTCTTGAATATGTCACAGATTCACTGATGCTGCAAATTCAGACATGTTGGTTTGAAAAGTTCACAAACTGAATTGTGTTTATTTGTGTTGACATAAAAATGCATCTGATCCATACGTATCCTAAACACAGCTTTAACTGAAAATTCCACCTTTAAAACACACATGGGAATCAGCCAATGTTGTTATTACTTTCATTAAGTTACAATAATAAGTGTTTGTCTACATACCACAGTAGCTGTCCACACCTCAGTGGTCTGCATTTCTCTACAGTTTCCATTCACACTCTGCAGCAGCCGACCACAGACAGGAAAGCAACTCAGCAAAGCAGACTCCTTTTTGTGTAGCCTATCACACCCCTCTAATATTTAATGTTCCACTTTTTTATCCTGTTCAGTAAATACAGTTTCAGTACATCGCTGTTCCTTCACTGCACCCTCTGTATGATGTCCTGCTGTCACGTGTTCATCTCTGGTTCCTTTGCGTTTTATATTATGTAAAAGTGAATGATTTGAAGACTTCTCAATAGCTCTGTTCACTTTGGCATAAACCAGAAGAACTTAATTTATAACATATTACAACAGACGTTGTAGAAGTCCCCAACAAAGTAGTAAATACATAAAAAAAACTTGATACAGAATAAATCTTATATTCAGTTCTAGTTAATAAAATATTCTGAGAACTGTGGTGGGAGAAGTGTGTTTGAATAAACATCTCAGGCAAACACTTTTCTTTCTGTGAATTTTATTGAAGTCTGCAGAAGGAACTCACAGGGACACATGCACATCAGAGAGTATCGGCCGAGTGAGCTGCAGTGTAACAGCTCATGCAGCTTTTATCTTGTCTCAGGGTCGGAGTACTATCTCATCAAAGGAACATGGTGTCTTTCAGTGTTCCTTAGGGGATCTATAGAAAGACACCCATGTCCAAGGTACATGTGGTGAACCACTTAAAGTCCTGACCCCTCTGGACATACGTTAAAGCATCACACACATTTACCTTCCATTGACCCCATACCCAAGAGGCTGGTGAGATTATTTACATGGCAGTGTTTTAAAGATGGTTCTCATGAAATTTCCATTACAATACTCCCTTTTAGCATTTTATGCTAACACAACATAATGAGAATATAAACACTTCATGTAACTTCAGCAGTACTTGAAGAGAAGGTGATTATGTAAAAATATAAGGAATAAAAATACAATGTAAGGAATATAAAAATGAGAGGACACAAGACACAATACAAACACTTGTAATTATGCAAAATGTGAAATTTCATTACATTTGCAAAGACTGCAATGATTCAAAACTTACAATTTCAAAAAATAACTTAAACTAAAATGTTTCAGATTAAACTTCACTTTTATCCCCACTGAAAGGTGGGATCCAGTCCACTGAATCAGTGGGTGCAGTTGGTAGTTGCATGTACTGACCCATAGATGATTTAATTGCTGTAGCAATCATAGATCTAGCACAAGGGATCACACAGCATGTCAGGAGGGGAAAAACACCAAGAATGACAAACAGTGGGGTCAACATTTTAAACAGCACATTCTTCCATCCGCCTGTTGTCAGCCACGCCTGGCTCCATTATCCCATGTGGTGCTGCAGGTTGCTGTAACCATCTGCTTACATGATGATGTTCCCAGGAAAAGATCTCTTGGTGTGAGACATTGTCTGGTGAAACACACCGTTCCAGTTCGGGCTGTTGGATTTATTGTCATGATGGGCTTGAAGATTTTCTGCTCCGTTATCTGAGACGGGTTGTGGAGCCCCCAAAGTTGACCATGCTGATGTTACACCGTTCAAGTGTCTTGGTCATATCCTTAACTTCTCGGCCAACCCTGGGAAACCCTTGAGTGAAGGTTAACAGGGCTCCTAGTGTCTCTGAAACCTTTAATGGTCTGGGTTTCACTGGTATGGAGTTCCCCACTCTATGAGGGAGCCGTGGACACGCATAACAGCCTCCGTTTTCTCTCGGTCTGTCACCTCTCCAGAGCCATCTGTTGGTTTCTGGCACCATATCTTATCAGTTGTGTCACCTTGCCTACCCCTGTAATCAGTGTGCCCGCGGTGAGTGTTTGGGAGATTAGTGGTTCTAGGTGGTCTCAGAGACCTCCACTCCCCTCCCTCCCTAGGAACACAAGGCAGGGGAAAGCTCAGCTCACTCACTGATCTCCATCTTCACCTGGTCTGAGGCCTTTTGGTTGCTTTGGCACTCGTTTGCAGTGGGTGGCGTGAATCCAAGTTGCTCTTTCAGCCACTTTTTCTGCTGTTTCTGTTAGCAGTATCTGAAATGGCCCAGTCCACCTGCGAGCCCGCCAATTCTTTCTCCCGAAGTCCTTT